CGGGAATGGCACCGGGAGCGGGGAGCCGCTGCCCAGGGCCAAGCGCTTCGTGTCCCAGGCGCGCTATGTGGAGACGCTGCTGGTGGCCGACGCGTCCATGGTGCGCTTCTACGGGGAGGACGTGGAGGTAAGGGCTGGCGGTGTCCCCCGTCCACTCTGCCCCGCATCGCTCTGTGCCCGCTGGTGCCTGTCCTCCCATCACAGCCTCTCCATCCTCCCGTCCCTGCCTGTCCCCATCCCAGCCGCTTCTCCGCCTCTTCTCAGCTCCACTCCTGCGTTCGCTGTCCCTCTATCGCCTCCATCCCTCCGTCCTCCCAACACGCGCGTCCCTCCATCCCCTCATCCCGCCGTCTCCTGTCCCCATTCCCGCTGCCTGTCCTCCTCCTCCTCCTCTCAAACGCACTCCTCCAGCCCATCACCCCTCCGTCCCCTCCCGTCCCCCCGCTTGCCTGCCCGCTGCCGGGTCCCCCCTCGCCCTCCGGATCCCCCCAGCCCCGGGACAACTTTGGGTGAGCGGGGGGACCGTGGCCCTTCCTTCCCTTGCCGTGTAGGGGCTGRGATCCCCCGGGGCRAAGGCTGCAGTGTTGATTTACGGGSTCCAKTCGGTGTTTGGGGACCCTTCCCCAGAGCCAGCATCCATCCCAGCGAGCCCATTTCTGCTACTGTGGTGTCCCCAAAGGTGGGGACAGAGCGGGTTAATGCCCTTCCTGCTGCAGGGAAAGCGCCGCGCTGCAAAGCGATGGCTTAACTCCCTTCCGGTTGGGAGCCAGACAGTAAATASAGCAGGGGCTGAGCAATGCGCGGTGCCGCTCCTGAGCCACCTGTTAGCAGCTGAGCAGATGGATGAGCAGCCCTTCCCCTCAGCCACCAGCAATTCTCATCCTCTTTAAACGCTCTCTCTGCGGAGCCCCTGCCCCGAGCAGGCTTTGGGGAGATCGCAGGAGCAGAGCCCGCGGTGCCTCAGCCCCCCAAATCCATTCCCGTGGCTCTTGATGTGCCTCAGCCCCCCACATCCATCCCCGGGGCTCTTGATGTGCCTCAGCCCCCCACATCCATCCCTGGGGCTCTTGATGCGCCTCGTTCATCAGCACCGGGTTCTTTTTCACGCCTCTGGCAAAGCCGGTTCCGTGCATGGATGGGCGGTTTAGGTCCAAATTCGGGTTTGCACCGTCTCAGGGTCTTTGCAAGGGGTAAYTGTGCACTGAAGTTGCTCATTCTCGGGTTGTTTGACTTCAGAGTCCGCGAAGCTGGAGCTCAGCAGGGAGCAGCTGAAACCCGGCTTTGCCACTTCTGCCGACTTTTTATCCTTCCCCTGGGGGCATCTCTGCTCCTGACAAAGYAGCGTTTTTATTCCAGCCCTGCTCRGGCCAGGCTGGACCWYGAGAAATGCCAACCCTCGGGGCTCCAGCTGATTTCAGCTGCTCAGCATCGCTCTGGGTTTGCCCTTTGCGTGGATTTGCCACCGAGCCAGGCTGGCAGGAGGAGAGAGCAGAGGGTCTGTGAGCGAGGGGTGATGCACTTGGAGATATCCCGAGTGCTCACAGCACTCAGAAAAGGGTTTGAAGTGAAGTAAATTGAATTTTTAAGCAACAAACACGTAAGCGATGGTGGGAATTACTGTCCTCATAGCATGAAGTTGGTCTCTGATTCCCCAAGAGGGCAGAAAAAATAGTGTAGTGAATCCTCTGCACCCAGCTGGGCACCCGATGGTTTTAAAGCAACACCCAAGGGTGTCTAAATTGAAATCCTGATTGAGCTGGGGGGAAAAGCAGCAACCCTGTGGGTAAAYCTGTGAAGGCAGAAGGAGAGGGAATGGCACCTACACATAATCAGGGGGCTGGAACCCAGGAACCCTGCCCTGGTTTGGCTGCTCCAGCCCTGGGCTGGGTGATGCTCCCTGTTTGGCTCCCACTTTGCCATCACTTCCTTGGCCCCAAGAGCAGTATCTTTGCATCAGCTCTTAGGGGTTGGAGGGAGATGTTTAAAGATCTTGTTTTGGGTGAATAGAGCAATGGTATATTAAAATATTGGGGAGGAAACTTCCACCAGCTCTGATGTAGCAGCTAGAAAAAAATCMAAAAAACCACCTGCTGTGTTTGTGTGTCTTTTGTTCTCTGGAACAAAACTGCAGGGAGCAGCACAGCCATCTTGCTTCTCCCTAAATACCTTTTTTGTGGGTTGAAAAAAAGCAGTGGCAAGTGCTGGTGAGATCTTAGAGAGCTGACACAGAGYGATGCCCAGGGAGTAGAAATGTTGAGTCAGAACAAACTGTATTTATATAATGACTTTTCTTCCCGTAACCACGCTTTAATTACCAAATGTTTATTAAAGGTCACCSGCATTGTTTGTATTCCTGGTTATTTTCTTGCATAAGTTGTAACAGATCGAGCAGAAGAGTCACCCTAAGATTGTTCGAGTGTTATGAGTTACAATCAAGGCCTTGCTGTTGGTGGCAAAATGCTGTTAATGATTTATTTCTGATCAATTTGAGCCTTRCAGCTCAGCTGTTAACCTGATTTAGATAATAATAAGATAATAAGAGCTTGTTCTWCCTTCATCAATAGTTGTATGTAAACCAGGAGGGAACAGTGAAGTGAGAGCAGAACAAGACCTGAAATTTGGGGTTTTATCATTGTTTGGGCTTGGTGATTGCAGGGGATGGGGTTTTTTGGGGGCATTAGGATGGTGCAGGGCAGTGAACGCTGTGAGGATTCAGCTTGCAGTGAGTGGAAAAGCCCTCTCACACAGGGATGGCTCCAGCCTGGACACGGCAGGTTGGGCATTTCTTACAGAGCATCCCAAATGCTTGGAAACAAAGTGCCTGTGAGCATTACTCACAGAATTCGGTGGGTTTTGAGCRGGGGGAGCTGAGGCAGGAGCAGCTCTAACCCTGTGGTGTGCAGGAGGGCTGGGCTGCACTTGCAAGGATGCTCTGCACGGCTCGGGAGCGYTGGCCAAGGCACCTCAAGCACCAGGCGCTTCCAAATCCCAGCTGCAGCATCCCCAGCCAGTTGGCAGMCAAATGGGATTCCTGTGGTGGGATTTCTGCAGTCTCTTGGGTGCAGATGAGACGCATTTCCAAGCTTTCCTCCGCAAGCACGACGGCTGGGATCCCTTCYCCTTTCTCCTCTTGCAAGGGAGGAATCTGCTGTTCCTGACTCCAAGGGCTGGGAATGACTGAGCACCACAGCCGGATTGGATCAGTCTGGAAAAGCTGGGATTCCTCRCTGACTTCTGGGCTTTTCCCAGGCAGATTTATGAGGTTTTAGGAGTGCTGGTGCAAACCCTGCCTTCTAAGACCAGACATTGCCAGGGTCCTGCAGCTGGCTCTGCCACACCCTGATGGGCTGGAGGTAATTCCAGAGCCACCATGGAGCCTCAGGTCCGGCTTTTAGGCTGGCTTTGGGGTATTTTGGAGTGGRTAAATTCACTTAATCCCCCGACAAAAGAAGGCAGCCCCTCCTGAGCCCATCCCAAAGGACACCAGAGTGGGATTAAAGGGGATCTTTGCAAAGGGGAACTGCCACCCACCAGCTTTTCTTCTGGGATTTGTCTTCTGAGTGCGACCCTGAGCCTGCATCTGCTTTGGGGCAGGGGGCTGGAGGAGCAGGAGCTTCCCTAAATGTTCCTCTGGCTGCTGCACTCGCCTCAGACTGGAGCATTCAACAGCTGCTGCATTTCAGGGCTTCGGAATGAAATATGAAATGTGCTGGCTCCCATTGAAGCAGCTCCGTGCTGGCTCCCAAACCGTAGTGCTCCTGCTCTGGGATGCTCTCAGGATGGGGTTTTACTCCATCTGTGCCTCTGGGGAGGTGGTGGCAGTCTGGATGTGCCTCAGTTTCCCCTGCCTTGAACGGGGGTAGTTGCTGCTTTTGGGTTCAGCCCCAAATATCCAGGAAAGAGAAGGGGGGAAGAATCATGTGGCAAACAGAACAGGGATGGGCAGGGAGCTGGGAGGGCAGCCAGGCACACGGGCAGGCTGGCAGGGTCTCCCCCTCTCCCCTGGCTTGCCCCCCATCTCCCTGGGCTGCCTCCCACATTTTTGTAAGGGAATTGTTGGCCGGGGCTGGAAGCCACAGGAGGAGGCTTGCAGGGCAGGACAGGACAGGGCAGGGCAGGGCAGGGCAGGCAGCAGCCCCGGGTACCCAGGACAGGGGGGAGCTCACAGATGGTGCTGCAGGGGACAGGGACAGCCTGGGATGGTTTTACCAGCTGATTTCTAAAAGCTGGGCAGCGCTTGCATCTGACCCTGGGTTTGCCTCCTTCCATCTGTCTGTGCACCAAATCTCAGTGTTTCTTTCTTCTTTTCCCCCCTCTGCAGAAATGCTGGATTCTAGGGAGAAAGCAGGAAAAAAACCCAAACAAATCCAGCCCCAGGTTGGGCTGGATATCTTTGGGGAGCACATTGTGGGGAGGAGAGTTGTGCTGGGGTGTTCTGTGGGTACTCTCTGCTGTCCTTCTCTTCTGGATGGGAGTGCCATGGTTCAGTTGAGGTTGGATTTGAAGCATGGGTTGGATTTGAAGATCTTGAAGGTCTCTTCCAGCACTGGTGATTGTGTGTGATTGATTGTGTGTGAGCAATATTCAATCATTCTGTGCATACCACAATAATAGGGGCTGTATTGGTTTGGGCCATCCCAAACCTGTAAGAGCAGTTTTAGCCATAATAATAATAATAATAATAATAATAATAATAATAATAATAATAATAATAATAAAACCCACTGCTTGGGAATCTCTGCAGGCTTCAGCTTCTGAGTGGTTCCCATGGAAAGGGATGCAAACAAAGACTTTGCCTGTATCAGAAAGAGAAATCCTTCTGTGTTAGGAGGGTGAAGACAACCACTCCAGTTCCCCTCGCTCTGATTTGTTTTTATTTTTCCTGTTCCTGCTCTGTTTGCTGCTGGGAGGCTCCTGCCAGGGGCAGGGCTCTCCCAGACACGGCYATGCTGTGCCAGGGGGGTATGGGAGCTGCTGTAGTGCAGCTGTGTCAGACAAAAGCCATCCCTGCTCGTTTCTAATGGGAATTTTAGGGTGGAATTTGATGTCGAGAGCAGAGGGAGCCGAGGGGGGCAGCTGGGGGGAGAAGGGGCAGGAGGTTTGTGGGGGTATCCCCCCCATAGTGCCTCAATATCAGCGCAGTGCATGGGGCAGAGAAGGGATGCTCCACCCGGCTCCCACTGGTGTCCCCTCCCCCCAGAGCAGGTAAGAGGTTCATTTTCCAGCTGTGTTTGCAGCTGGACAGACATCCTGCCAGATCTCCCAGGATGCTGGTTGGAAAGGGCAGGGAAGCTCCTTGTGCCAACAGGCAGAAACCAATCTGTTTGCGGCTCCTCAAACCCGACCCAAAATCCTGCCCTGCACCTGATCCCAATGGCCACACCCTCAGCCTGGTGCTGGGAAGGAAACCCTGGAGAAGGCAGCGTTCCCTCCTGGGTGGCTGCTCAAGGCAGAGCCTGTTTGCAGAGGCAGAAGGAGGGTGGGATGAGCAGRATTCAGCTCACCTGCAGCCAGTGCTTGGCCAAAAGCCCTCAGCTGGCCTCTCCTGAGCCCTGAGGCTCTCATAATTTGCTTTTGGCCATGGCTTCAATCCCTTGGCCAAGCCAAAGCAGTGCAGGTGGATTGCTGCTCTCCCCAGAGCATTTGGGGTCCATCTGAAACCCAACCAGCTCCTGCACAGGCCAGGGATGGGTATAAATAGCCAGCAGATGGTGGAACAAGTGAATTTGACCTTTTAATCTTCACTAAATAGCCGTTTGTTCGGTTTGCTTTCCATCTCCCCTTTCCAGGCGCACGGAAGGTGGACAGATGTTTTCCAAGTCCCTCTGTTCCTGCTGCTGAAAGAGGTTTTTGGCTGGAGGGACCCCTGAGGATGCGAGGGTTGGTGTCCTGGAGGATTTGTGGTATGAACTGAGATCTCCCAGGTCATACTGTTRTGGACAGAATCCTCCAGGGGGTTGGAAAAGGATGCAGCTTGATTTATTCCATCCCACGATAGGCAGCTCCAGTGYAGGGCATCTCTCCAGATCTTCCAGGGTGTGATTTTAGGAAGGCTTTGGGATATTTTTAGCCAGGTTCCAAATGGACTTTCCCCACAGGGTGAGCAATTCCCTCAGGTTTCCTGGAGCAGCCACTCGTGGGGATCTCAGTTGGGTTTCTTGCCTCGGCGGTGACTCCTCCGTGACATCGGTTGCATGCTCGGGGCTGGGACGTGAGTCACGTCGTGGAGATCTGGCCAGTCTAAATAAACCAGTCTATTCACTGCTCCCAGCAGCCTTGCTGGGGCCTGCCCTTGGATAATGAGCTGGGGAGGACTTGGGATACATCTCGTTGAAACAAAACATCTGTTTACACGGAGCTGCCAGTGCTGGGATAAAATGTGGCAGAATAATTTAAAATAGCCCCAAGCGCCCCGGGCGAGCGGCGAGCGGCGCAGCAGATATGCCATATCTCTCTCAACATCTCCCTCATTTGAGAAGAAAACAGCATTTTGTGTCTCAGAAAATGGCATTGTCCTGGCAGCGCCGTGATGGATGAGCACCCGCAGTCAGTTTTGCTCAGGAAATGTATTTCGGGTGAAACTTGGCTATYGGAGAGGGCTCCCATCGAGTCCTTCCAGTTTAATTAGGCTCTGAGTTGAGACCGCAGGGTGTAATTTGTCTGGGGAGGAGAGAAGCCACTTTCTCTTTCCCAATACTGTATTGTGTAACAGCTGCATTTTTCTCTCCTGACTGCGCCGTGAGCGGTGCCAAGCAGAGGAGGAATTCTGATGCTCTGATAAGATGTTTACATCAGCCTCAGCATCGCTGGCGCTCCTGACTTATTAAGTAATCGCCGGTCATAGCTGAGCAGGGGATGCTGCTGGGCAAAGGCTTGGCTGTCAGAGTGTTTTAGTCCCAATTTGTCACCGAGGAGGYCGGGTTAGATATTAGATGTTAGATATTAGGAAAAAGTTCTTTACAGAAAGAGTGATAAAGCACTGGGATGGTCTGCCCGGGGAGGGGGTGCAGTCACCATCCCTGGATGTGTTTAAAGAGAGATTGGATGTGGTGCTGGGTGCTGTGGTTCAGTTGAGGGGTCAGGGCAGGGTTGGACTGGAAGATCTTGAAGGTCTCTTCCAACCCTGGTGATTCTGTGGGTTCCAACCCTGTGACCGGCACAGGCAGGAGTTTCACCACGTGGTTTTGCACCAGCAAGATGCGTGTGAGTTGGTTCCTGCCCTGGAGCAGCGAGGGCAGGGGTAATTTGGGAATGTGCAGCGAACTCTCCAGAATGCTGAGGTTTTCCCCAAGGAATTTCTTCTGGAGGGGTTTCTAACTGCAGAGGGCTCTTGAGAGGGGTGAGAAGGGGATGCAGGGCAAAGTGTGAAGTGTCATATGCAGGAAAGGCAGCACTGAGTCTATCAGCCCATGGTCTGGATGTGATGGGCTTCAGAAATGAGGCCGATTCCTTCTTTTCAAACAAAAAACCTGCTCCATAGCAGAGGTTTCACCCAGGMTCTGCCTGCCCATCTCTTTCCCCACAGAACCATGTCCTGACCCTGATGTCCATGGCAGCTCGCATCTACAAGCACCCCAGCCTGGGGAACTCCATCAGCCTGGTGGTGGTGAAGGTGCTGGTGGTGGAGGAGGCGGCGGCGGGGCCGGAGGTGTCCGACAACGGCGGCCTCACCCTGCGCAACTTCTGCAGCTGGCAGCAACGGTTCAACCCGCCCAGCGACCGGCACCCCGAGCACTACGACACCGCCATCCTCCTCACCAGACAGGTCAGCAGCTCCTGGGAACGGCCTGCAGTGGAAAGGGAAGGGATCAAGGTGTATGTGGAGGGAGAGAAGGGGGTTGGTCATGGAGGGACAGAAGGAGCTTGACCATGAAGGGACAGAAGGGGAGTTGACCATGGAGGGGAGAGAAGGGCATTGACCATAGAGGGAACAGAAAGGGATCGACCACAGTGGACAGAAGGGAGTTGACCATGGAAGGGAGAGAAGGGGATTGACCACAGAGGAGAGAAAAGGAGGTTGACCATGGAGGGACAAAAGGAGGTTGACCATGGAGGGACAAAAGGAGGTTGACCATGGAGGGACAGAAGGAGGTTGACTACAGAGTGAGAGAAGTGAGTTGACTATGGAGGGACAGAAGGGGGTTGACCATGGAGGTTGCTGCCCCACCATGCAAAGAATGGAGCAAAGCGGTTCTGGGGTGGTTTCTTTGGGGTGGGGACCACCAGTGGGTTGCCCACAGAGATGTTGGGGATAAACATGGGACCCTATCCCCCTTCCTCACCTCTCCCCCTGGCCGGCACACACAGGATTTCTGCGGACACCAAAGCTGCGACACGCTGGGAGTGGCCGATATCGGCACCATGTGCGACCGCAACAAGAGCTGCTCCGTGATCGAGGATGAGGGCCTGCAGGCAGCCTACACCCTGGCTCATGAACTGGGTAACTCAGCCCTTCCCCAGGGGAAGTCTTCTTCTTCCAGTCCTGCTGCTGGGAGGGCTTGTGACACAGCCCAGCACCAGCATCTCCGGACTGGGGGCCGCCCACGAAGCCGTGGGGAGCGTCTGGTGCTGACAAAAGCTGGTTTGCACCAGCAGAAATACTTACGAAGTGCCCAAATTGGTGTTAATTGGTGCATCTGCACCAGTTCAGGAAGAATTCCTTCACTGGAAGGGTGGTGAAGCATTGGAAGGGGTGGCCCAGGGAGATGGTGGTGTCCCCATCCATGGAGTTGGTCAGGAAATACCTGGACAAGGCACTCARTGCTCTGGTCATTGACAAGGTGGGGATCAGGCACAGGTTGGACTTGAGGATMTTGGAGRTCTTKTCYGACTTTAATGATTCCATGATTCACCTGTTGTGATGAGCTCAGACATGGGATCAAGCACAGCTCACCYTCACTTTGCCATTCCTGCACTAATTTGAGCCCAGAGCAGCTGGGGCTGCMCCRTCCCTGGGAACATTCYAGGCCAGGCTGGAYRGGGCATGGAGCAGCCAGATCTAGTGGAAGGTRTCCCTGTMCATGGCARGGRGTGSAACAAGATGAYCTTTAATTCCCTTCCATCCYAAACCATTCTGGGTTTCTACARACCTGGGCTGTTTTGCCCTGCASACAGCRGGCRGGTTTTTATTCCTCCTGATTTATGGGAGCTCTTGCAGGAATAGGAGCTACTTGGTTCCTTACAGATGCTCCCACACAGCAGAGTCTGGGGGGCTCAGCTCTGCCATGCTCTCTGCTCCCCAGGCCACGTGCTCAGCATGCCCCATGATGACTCCAAGAACTGTGAGCGCCTCTTCGGCCCCCTTGGCCAGCACCATGTGATGGCCCCTCTCTTCATCCACTTGAACAAGAGCCAGCCCTGGTCYCCCTGCAGCGCCATGTACCTCACCGAGTTCCTGGATGGAGGACATGGTGAGGCTCGTAACCCAAAACAACCTTCTCCTGAATTGCTGGGGCTCTTTGCAATGCCCACAGGGGGCTGTGGGGTGAAGGGGTGCTCAAACCAGACTGTGGGCAGAGGTTTGGGCTGCCCTGCTTGGTGCAGTTGGGTGTCCAGCCTGACCACTGATCCTTGTCCAAGTGATTGCTTGCTGGATGCCCTGGCCAAGCCTGTGGAATTGCTCGGGCTCTTTGCAATGCCCACAGCGGGGTGTAGGGTGAAGGGGCAGTCAAACCAGACTGTGGGCAGAGGTTTGGGGTGCCCTGCTTGGTGCAGTTGGGATGTCCAGCCCCACCAGCTCCACGTCCAGCCTAACCCCTGACCCTTGCCCAGGTGACTGCTTGCTGGACGCCCCAGCCCAACCCGTGTCCCTGCCCACCGAGCTGCCCGGCCRGACAGCCCTGTACAGCCTGGACCAGCAGTGCCAGCAGATCTTTGGCAAGGACTTCCAGCACTGCCCCAACACCACTGAGGAGGACATTTGTGCCCAGCTGTGGTGCAGGACTGGCAGCGGGGAGCCCCTGTGCCACACCAAGAATGGCAGCTTGCCCTGGGCTGATGGAACACCCTGCAAAGCTGAGGGGCTGTGCTGGGATGGGCGCTGTGTGCAGCAGGAGGCCCTGAAACCACAGGTAAAGGGGGCACTGGGGGATTGGGGGTGGTGGCTGGACCCAGGCTGGACCCCTCTCTCACCCCTCTCCACAGCTGGACAGGGAGGGAAAAACAGRATGAGTTGAGATAAGGACTGAGAAATTACATCATGGGCAAAACTCAAAGTAGAGATGTTGGTTGAATTGATCAGTAACAAAATCGGAGCAGAATAATGAGAAGTAAAGTAAGACCTTAAAAACACCTTTCCCTCACACCTCCTTCCCAGCTCTCCCTCCAGTGGTGCAGGGAGACAAGGAATGTGGTTGTGGCCAGTTCATCACGGGTTGTTCCTGCTCAGGGAGAGGARTCAGAGTCCTTCCCCTGCTCCAGGGTCCCACAATTCCCCATGAACTTCTCCAACATGGGTCCTTCCCGTGGGCAAGTTCTCCACAAACTGCTGCAACACCATCACTCTTCCACAGGGTCAGTCCTTCAAGGACAGGCTGYTCCAGTCAGGGTCACAAGTCCTTCCAGCAATCCTGCTCCAACATGGGTTGCTTTCTCCTGGTCCTGCCAGGATCCTGCACCAGCTCTGGTTTCCCAGGGGGTCACAGCCTCTTTTAGGATTCCTATAGGGTCACAGCCTCTTTYGGGATTCCCACAGGCTCACAACCTCTTTCAGGATTCCCCTGCTCTGGCCTGGGTTCCTCCAGGGGCTGCAGGTGGATCTCTACATCCCCAAGCCCTCCATGGGCTGCAGGGGCAAATCTGCCTCACCATAAACTTCCCCACAGAATTTTGGGGGAATYTCAKCTCTGGCACTTGGAGCTGCCCCTGCCTTTTCCTCTTGCACCACCCTGTGTTTTTGCAGAGCTTTTCCTCATATTCTCACTCCTCTCATCTCTGCACCCAATTTCATCTGCCCAATAACTGTTTTTCCTTCTTAAATACATCCCTGAGGCATCAACACCATCTCTGCTGGGCTCAGCGCTGGCCAGTGCTGGGTCCATCCTGGAGCTCTGCTGGACACCAGGGAAGCTTCTGGCAGCTGATCACAGAAGCCATCCCTGCAGAACTCCCCACAAACCCACTACAGATGGGCTGGGGCTTGACCCTTTGGGATTCCYAAATSYCTGACCCCACCCCTTCATCTCCTTGACTGGCTTTGGATTGGGCTGATTTATTTCTGGGTGTCTCTCCTTTGTTAATGTTTATTACTGGCAAGTCCAGCTCACAGATAAAGTCTGCTCTGGAGCTGAACCAAAAGGAGCAGTGCAGATCTGCAATTAAAGCAGGACTTTTTGCCCTTCTGGGGAAATTAGCGGCGATTTTGGAGTCAGTCAGCAAAGAACTCAAAACCCAGCTTAACTTCAAGCATATGAGCAGACTGGTGGAAGTCAGTATTAACTCCRTGTGAAGTATGTGCCAAAGGGCTTTTCTGGATCAGGGCTGGGGGGAGATTTTAGCATTGCTGCAGACCTTATCTCACTCTGGGAGGGAGCAGCTGGGGAGGGACGGGCTCAGAGATGGATTCAGCAGCTCAGAGATGGATTCAGCAGCTCAGAGATGGATTCAGCAGCTCAGAGATGGATTCAGCAGTTCAGAGATGGATTCAGCAGCTCAGAGATGGATTCAGCAGCTCTCCTGGCCTCTTGCAGCCGGCGGTGCACGGCGGCTGGGGCCCGTGGAGTGCCTGGGGCTCCTGCTCGCGGAGCTGCGGTGGAGGCATCCAGTTCTCACACCGCCACTGCGACAGCCCCCGGCCCCGGCACGGCGGCAGCTACTGCGAGGGCCAGAGAACCAAGTACCAGTCCTGCCACACCCAGGAGTGCCCGCCGGACGGTGAGCATGGAGATTCCCAAATGTGCTTGGCTCCCACTTCCGCTCCTCCAGAATGCCTTACTGGGGATTGCTCTGCTCTGCCGTGAATATCCATGTTCGGGGGGAGCAACAGCTTCCTGCTGGGGGCTGTGACCTTCTCTGGCTGATGGAAGGGCTGTGGGATCTTTCTGATACATGGGATCTTCTCTGATGGAAGGGCTGTGGGTTCCTTCTTGTATATGGGATCTTCTGTGATGGAAGGGGTGTGGGGTCCCTCTGGTGTGTGGGATCCTCTCTTATGGAAGGCATGTGGGATCCCTCTGATGTGCAGGATCTTCTCAAATGGAAAGGGTGTGGGATCCTTCTGATACATGGGACATTCTCTGATGGAAGGGGTGTGGGATCTCTGATGGAGGGTGTGTGGGGTCCCTCTGATGTGTGGGATCTGTGATGGAAGGGCTGTGGGTTCCCTCTGGTGTGTGGGATCTTCTCTGATGGAAGGATGTGGGATCCCTCTGATGTGTGGGACCTTCTCTGATGGAAGGATGTGGGATCCCTCCTTCCTGACATTCCTCCTCTGCTTGCACACTCACCATGTGCTCCCACCACCCTTAGCTCGCTCCCACATCTCTCTGATGGCCAAGAACAGCACCTCCTGCCAGCTTCCCATGGGTCATGCTTCACCTTTCCTTTCAGGGAAGAGCTTCCGGGAGCAGCAGTGCGAGAAGTACAACAGCTACAACTTCACGGATCTGGAAGGGAACCGCTTGGAGTGGGTTCCTAAGTATGCAGGGGTGTCCCCCCGAGACCGCTGCAAACTCTTCTGCCGAGCCCGAGGGAGGAGCGAATTCAAAGTCTTTGAGGCCAGGGTAAGATTCCTGGTGGTGGGAATCACCAGAATGGGATACCTGGTGGGGGGAATCACCAGAATGAGATACCTGGTGGGGGGAATCACCCAGTGGTGATGGGAATCACCAAAGTGAGATACCTGGTGATGGGAATCACTCCAGTTTACCCCATTTCAGTGCTCATCCCCTAACGACTCCTCTGCATCCCCCTTTCCCAGGTGATTGATGGGACGCTGTGTGGCCCAGAGACCCTCTCCATCTGTGTCCAYGGGCAGTGCATCAAGGCTGGCTGTGACCACATCATCGGGTCCTCCAAGAAGCTGGACAAGTGCGGGGTGTGCGGTGGCAATGGCTCCACGTGCAGGAAAATATCCGGCTCACTCAACAGATCCAAGTAAGATGCCAGGGGGAAGGTTCTGCAGGGATGGGCTGGGGGAGAAAAACCAGCATCCTCTCTCATTCCCCTTCTTCTGTGGCTGAAGTTCTAGGTAGGAATACACTGGGATCCAAGCCAGCATTCTCAGCTGACTGGCATTGCCAGAGCCTGGGCTCCTCCCCAGACTCCAGGGTTTAGGCTCCGTTTATTTCAAGGCAGAATTATAGAAGCCAAGTAGARCTAATTTCCTAAAATAATAACTAATGTGATGAGCTCCACCACTGCAAATAAATCTGCCCCGATGAGTTTACAATACGCATTTCACCCCTGTACACTGAGTTGGACTCACATTAAAGGGCTGCTGTGGGATATAAATACTCAGTAACTTTCCCCTAGGCTTGGGGGTGAATTTGAATCCTGGGACAAGGGCACTGAGGCAGCCACTTCCYTCACCCAACATCTCTGTGGCTTTGCCAAAGAGCAGAATTTAAGGCTTTTGTTGGAAAATCGTGACAAAAGCCCAACTGTCCAGTTCCATGCAGCGAGGTGACTCACACAGGCAAATTAGATTTCCTAAATGGTTTCCTTCCAGGGAACAGCTGAAACGGGGCTTCCACTCTCCTATGAGTTGTTTGTGGTTGACTACAGGGAGATTAGCGTAGGAGCTACAGCCAAGAAGAGATCCCATTAAGATCAGGGTGAGGGAGGCCAGGGTGACGGAGAGCAGAGCTTGACTCAAAGGCTTTTTTCCAAAATACTCTGAACCTAATTACTGACCGCAGCATCCACCATGGGGATCCGTGGAAAACGATCCTGCTGGCCCCACGGTGTGAGTCACAGCGCTGAGGGCTCCAGTGAAACCTTCAGTGTGCTGTCCYGCCAGTGCTGCTCCAGGGACAGGCTTTGGCTGGCTCTGCAGGAAAATGCTCCCCTGGCATGGGAATGGCCTCTGGATCCTCCAAAGGGATTGCTTCTGCATTGTAGTCATGGCTGCAAAACCCTTCAAAAAGTGGGTTGAGAGTGAAGAGACTCCCTCTTGTTGTTTTCTACATCTATATTTGTATTTATATAGACATCTGTGTTATCTCTGTGTTATCTCTGTCAGGAGGTGATGCCATCCTTCAGTATCACTGGTGGCAGGCTTTCAGTCCCAAACACTTCACCATTCCCAAACACAGGGAAAGGGGAATTTCYCACCTAGGCTGGGAATCCCATGGTGTTCATTCGACTGCATCGCTTGTTTTCATACGGAATTCAGGGAYATCTTCCAGCTGAGCTCACATCTGGAACATCTGCAGCATTTCCAGCGCTTGGGGTTCCAGAGATGGCTTCAGAGCCAGGATCCCAAGTGCTGTTCCCTACACGGGTGTGCTCTTAGGAAGCTTTGAACAATGACTGTGTCCTTTTGTTCTGTGCAGGTACGGCTACAATGACATTGTCACCATCCCCGCCGGAGCCACCAACATCGACATCAAGCAGCGCAGCCACCGAGGGGTCCGTCACGACGGGAATTACCTGGCCCTGAAGACCCTCGAGGGCAGGTACCTGCTGAACGGAGACTTTGCCATCTCAGCCATGGAGCAGGACATCCTCATCAAGGGGACCATCCTGAAATACAGCGGCTCCATGACAACTCTGGAGAGGCTGCAGAGCTTCCGACAGCTCCCAGAGCCCCTGACCGTCCAGCTGCTGAGCATTGCCAGCGAGGTCTTCCCACCAAAAGTCAAATACACCTTCTTCATCCCCAAGGACRTCCCTTTCAGCAAGCAGAAGGGCAAAGAGAAGAAGTCAGTGAACGTCATCCGCCCGATGCTGACCTCCCAGTGGGTCCTGGGGGACTGGTCTGAGTGCTCCAAGACGTGTGGCTCCGGCTGGCAGCGGCGGACGGTGGATTGCCGGGATGTGGAGGGCCAAACCTCCTCCGCGTGCAACAAATCCCTCAAGCCTGAGGACATCAAGCCCTGTGGCGACGTGCCCTGCCCGCTCTGGCGCCTGGGTCCCTGGTCYCCCTGCTCCCAAACGTGCGGCGAGGGCGTGCGGACGCGCAACGCCTCCTGCATCGATTACACCGGTGAAATCACCGCCCCGGAGAAATGCAGCTCGCCAGGGCCACCGCTGGCCACCACGGCCTGTGTGCTGCGGCAGTGCTGAGCCATGCCGGGGAGGCAAGGGCACCGTGGGCTTCCACCATGCCAGGGCAGGACAGCAAGGGTGCCATGGGCTTGCTCGCCAGACCAATACCCACTCTSCAGTGGTTCATCCCCACCGCATCGATGTCTACCTCAGAGGGGAGAATAACGGCGGCGAAACAGGGAGGAATCACTGCTTTTCCTTTTCTTTCTTCCTTTTCTTCCTGGCTGGCTGCTCGCAGGCAAGTTGTAACTGAAAGGGAAAAATAAGTGTATCYGTAGGGTGTTTCCAAAGAGCTGTCGTTGAATGTGGCTGCAGATTCCTTTTTGTAAGGTTTGCTGGGGTTTGGCACTGGGGAAGATGTGGAGCCTGGTTTTGCCRTGGCCCTGTCCCAGCTGCAGGTTGAGGAGGTCCAGGGTAGGGTGTCTTTGCTGATAAAACTGGAATCTCCTGRCAAAAGGCATGGAATGGGTTTCCATCCCCTTCCTGCAGCCGTGTGGGTGTCCTTGAGCATGAGGAGTGTTTCATCAGCTGTGGGTTTCACTGGGGAGATAAATGGATGGATGGGAGGAAGAATAAGCTGAGGACCAGATCCTGGCATGAATTAGGCAGGAGGACAGGTGAGAGGTGGTCCTGCTGCTTTCTGCTGGATTTATAATCCACAGGGTGACAAACCTCTGTGTCCAAACACCCCCAGAGCCTGCAGTTATTCCTGGAGCTGTTACCCTGCACCTCCATTTCCCCAGCTATAAAACCAAAGCTTAATTACACCTGATCTGTCTTGCAGGGGCACTGTGAGGATTAATTAATTCCTGATTCTGCAGTGCTCTGACTGTGAAATGCCTACTGCAATGCCCTCTGGAGCAGGCACTCTGGTGTGCCAGCGTTTCCTTTCCCATCCTTGGCTCTCAGTCCCCTGTGGGCTCATTCTTTTCAGCTCTGCTCTAATTTTGGAGATAATTCACCAGCCTGGTTTGCAGCAGGGCTGAGCTCAGGATSTGTAGATCATGCCAGAGGTGCCCAGTGCTGCTCTTCACCTCTGCTTCCCTCGGGTATGTGAAGATGCTCAGATCTGGTGCCAGTTCCAGCCTTGCGTGAGCAATTCTCAGTCCAAAACCAAGCCTGGCAAGGCTGGAGCTGCTCTTTCCCAGCGGGAAGCAGCCACACCCCTCTCCCCAGCCCAGCTGCTGCCTGGCCCCGGCACAGATGGCTGTTCAGACCCTGAACTTTGCCCTTTCCGAAGCGATCGCTGGCCGTGTGCTGGCAGCAGCCGGTGCCTGGGGAGCAGGGATGGAATTTGGAAAGATTTTGCTGTTGCTGGATGAACAATTCAGTATCTCCAGGCTCCTCTCTCATACCCTGCCTTGGCTTCCTTTTTGGCAGCAGAACGTTGAATTTCCAGTGGGATCTGCCTTTTTCCCATAGGAAGGGGAGGAGGGCTGGAATTTTTGATGTTTCCGAGTCCCYACTCACATTTGTGGAGCAAATCCTTTTCCTTGTCCCTTTTGCCTGAGTGTGTGGGACCCTTTCCTCACTGTCCAGACAGGTTTGGAATGGGATGGTGGGATGAACTGCTCTACTGAAGACAGAATCCCTACTATTTACCTGAAAATATCCCTGTTTTATCTCCCATAGATGATTTTGATCAAAATCAAGGGAGCTACAGCCTAGGATTGAGGGTATTGAGGCCTTGACTCCTTTATTTTTTTTAGGAAAGAAAAAAACAAACCCTACTATTTACCTGAAAATATGAAATATTCCTGTTTTATCTCCTATAGATGATTTTGATCAAAACCAAGGGAGCTACAGCCCAGGACTGAGGGTGTGGAGGGCTTGGCTTCTTAATTTTTTTTTTTCGGAGAAGGGAAAAAAACCCAAAGGCCAGCTGCAGAGTTTGGATGCAGAGCTGTGGTACAGACCTACCTTTGGGCAATATTCTGCATCTGCTAATTAATCTCCAGGAATTTAAGTTCTAACAAATAGCTGTATGCTCAAGTCATGTACGCCTCGCAGGGTTATTTTCTTTTTCCCCCCCTCTGAGTCTGCAAGGGTTTTAACTCAAAGCCAGCATGTGTTTCCTCTCCAGTGTCACCACCAGCATTTAGGATGGGTCAGGAATATCGGTCTGAGACAGTGCCAAGGAAAATGTCTGTGTTTATCACACAGGAGTCGTGCATGCCAAGGGGCTTTTCCAGGTTGTTTTTTTTTTTTTTCATAATCACTGCACAGCTGCTTAGCTGGAGCTTCCCAKATGTCAAAACTCCTTGTTGAGGGCAAATCCTGCTGCTTTTCCAGCGAGGAGGAAGGTGGGGATCCCCCTGGGAGGGGGGAACCGGAGGCAGTGATGCTCTGTGGAGGTGTTGGGTCTGCGTGATGCTGAGTGGAATTCCTGCCCCAGGCGTGGTTAGAAACCTTTCCGCTGATTTAAGTCAAAGAGGTTATATATTAGGCAATATATATGTATATATATATGTTTCCCTTCAGTGAAGGATTGTAGCAATGTACTGAGCCTCTTGTGTTAGGTATTTATTACGAATTTCTCTTCGGTTTTGTACAGTAGCTGTCGGGAAAGGAGAAAAAAAAAAAAAAAAAGGAAAAAAGAGATAAAAAAGACTGTGTTTGAACAAAAAAAAAAAAAAAAAAAGGAAAAAAGAGATAAAAAAGACTGTGTTTGAACATGCTGCTCCCACATCCCCTCTCTGAAACCCGCAGTGAGGTTGGGGAAGGGATGTCTTTGCTCATTGTTTATCCACTCTGGTATCTGACTGGTGTTTCCCTCCTCCCTGGTGTACCAACCAAGCTATGTAAGCATAACAAATCCAACCAAAATTAAGCTTTGGAATTCATTTTAAGGAGAGGGGGGAATATACAGTTTTCTGATTTTTAGCCTCTTGTTTGTATTTGTTTTTARTTTTGAAAACAGTCTGTTTGTGGCTCTGCCTTTACCCCTTCAATAAAGGATTTCCTGCCTTTTATCTCCTTGCATTTGTCTTTATTTGCACTTTCCTCAGGATTGTTATTATCTCCATCCCAGAGAGATTTTAAATCTCTCTTTTTGTGTATCTTATTGATAATAAATGGTTCATTCAGTTTTAAGATGCTGAACCAAAATACTACATGAGGGAATAAACAAAATCCATGGAGCCGAAATTATTCAGCAGAATTTTTGAATCCTTTTGCAGATGCCTTATGAGCACCCACCTCTCTCTATACATGCACAGTATATCTATATATATTATATAAATATATTTTTATAAAATTATATGATCATATATATGATATATATTATATAAATTGTACTATATATTATACATATTATACATATAGTATCATAGAACTCTAATTGTATTATATATACATCATAGATATATACATAATATATGCATGTTATAGAATCCTATCCTATGAAAATATATTTATATACATTCTATGTCAGATATATTAAGTATACATAATATATATACACATATAGAAGTCTACCACTATTATGTTATATTTATTTATATATATATATATATAGGATATATATAGGATATATATAGGATATCTATCCAATTAGAATTAATAATTATACTATTAATAATAATTATAATAGTCTATATAATTTAATTTATAATTACAACTAATTCTAATATTCATAATGATAATGGAATATTCATAATGGAATGTTTCTATATATATACATAATGGGTATTTTATATATATAACATATACATATTACATAGATATAAAACAGTATATGTAGATATACATATAGAATATAAATCTGTAATATGGATAATTCTGTTGTTTACTGGGAGGATATACAGCCTGAACAGGACTCAACCAGAGGGGATTCTAACTCCTTTACTTAAATGTGTGATAACCACAGGCAGAGGGGATTTGGTGCTGTCTCTGCGATGTGGTGTAGCCCTCTGAAACACAGGAGGGTGAAATTTGGTGTATCACAATGGAAATTTTGGAGCCATCTCWTTGGAATAAGGCTGGGCTCATTACAGGGTAATCTGGATACCTGCCAGCTGTCCTGGGTGAAATCCCACTCTGACGTCCAGCAGCAGCTCTGGTTTATTTAGATATTATTATGTTCTATATCATATTTGCTGCTACTATTATTTACAATACACCATTATTATACCCCATTATTATAATATATAACATACAATACATAACATTTTATTATTATAACACTCKACATTATATTTTCTATACATTGGGGATTTCCATCCACTGATGCAGAGAGAAAATGCTGCCTGTGCTCACYCTCCCAACGGGTTAAGCCACCATGGGATGCATCCCCACATTAATGGGCACAGCCACTGCTGCCACCCTATTTATAACCAGGTGTGACATTCATTCCAGATGACTTCCCTTGGCACACAGACAGGCCTTGGGTTTCAGCTCATTAAGGTGACAGCCTGCCCTGACTTTTCCCCCACATTTTTTACTTCCTCGTTTTGTTGCCATTGCTGGGTTTTGAATAATTGGAGTTTCAAACGATGCTAAAGGCTTTGAGATATTACAGGTAGGGGAAAAGCCCTTAATTAATGATAGCAGTGTAACCATCACAATTTAACTTTTTTTTTAAATAGTGGGATAATAAAACAAACCATGTGGTAAGAAACAAACCTTATGGGAATGTTTCTTATGCTGTAACCACAATGGTACCATAAAGGGGAGCAGAAGCCGAGATGGATCTCTGTAATCCCACCAGGGGAAATTATTGGGATCAACCCATGGCTGAACCTCTCCAGCCTGTGCTGTACAGGGTAATTATATTTTATGGGCATATTTCCTCTTAAAAGGCTCTTTCAAAGGATGTGGGGTGCCACAGGCTTCTCCCCCAGGTATGTGTTGAAACGGTGGTTTGCTCCTTGATCCCAAGAGCTCCTCCTTCCAAGGCCTGGGCTCTCCTGATCTCCAACCCCAGCTGTTCCTGGATAGTTCTCCCCCTTGTCCTTGTGCTAAAACTGTTGTTTATTTCCATGGTTTTCCTCTCTCCTGGGTTCATCCCTCCCCGCCCCCCATGTGTTTGTTGTCAGCAGTCGTACCTCTTCCAGCCTTATTTTGCTAAACTTTGCAAGGCTCACCTCATAAAACACCTTCCTCAGCTCTGGCTGAATTGATTATCCCTGGACAGAAGGGGCCACAGTGTCCCAGCAAGGTCACAGCAGCAGCTGGTGCTCCAGCCACAAATCCATCCTTATTCCTGATGGAAACATCCTTCCTGACGTGTCCTAGAACTGTAATGTCCCTTTTCTGCCGTTATTCTCAGCTCAGCTCATCCATCTTGGTCTTACGGCCCCTCTGCTCTGTTGGATCCCTCATTCTCCAGAGACACCTGATAAATCCATCCTGGTCTGGTTCCTTGGTGATGGCCAGATTTCTGAGGGGCTACTGCAATTCAGAGCATTTTGGAAAAAAAAAAACCAGGTTTCTCTCCTGAATTCCTGCTTCCACCTCCTCTCCTAACACCTAGGATGCTTTAACCCTCAGGATGACACTCACTGAGGACCAGGCAAAGYTTTTCCAGGTCTGGGGAGGATATAAACCCTAAATCCTCACCATGTTAGGAGAAAATCAGGGGTTTCCAAAGAGAAAAGTCAGCAGGATTGAATTAGAGCAGATTAACCGAGCTCTGGAGACGATAACAGACAGGAGGATGGAGAGGAAACAGCTCCTGTGGTAAATTCAGGAGAAGGCAACAAGTCCTTGAGTGTGGGAGCAAAGATGTTTTCCCTCAGGCACTGCTGGGTCAGGGAAGTGAGAGAAAAAGGCTGTGCAGAGAAGGTGTCACTCGCTTTGGCTGTTAATGGATGAATCCTGCCAGGAGCAGGCTCCTGAGAGCGCAGCATCTGCTCCAAGAGCTGCTGAAGCACAGGAAAACACATCCCACAGGCTGCAAAAAGAGGGCAAACCAGCTTCCTGCCAGGAATTGCACCTTCTGGGTGCTCAAATGGGGTAAGCAAGGGAGAAATTCAAGGATTAAAAAAAGGGGCAGATCCCAGGGATGGATGGGAGATACACCAGTGTTTTCTGAATGTTAGGGAAAACAAGATTTCTGTTTAGAAAAAGGAGGCTTTAAGGGCAYGGCACAGCCTCCAGTCACTTCCCTCATGCTGCAGACAGGAATCCCATTGAAAGCTTTCTCCTGCTTTATACCCATCAAATTCCAAGAACTCCTGAGATCCCTCTATGGCCCTATAAATGAGCAGTAGATACACAGACCAGTTCCATCACTGAATTACTCAGGGTTTATGTTGRTGTTGCTCCATCTACATCCCCAAATCAATCCCGGAATGTTGTAAAATACACGTAAGAGCAAAATCCCATCACTGGGAAAATACCAGGAGTCAGAATTTGGCATTTCATTGCAATGCCTCTCACTGAGAAACTGCAGCTYGGTGGAAAAAGCAGAGTGATAAAGGACAACACAGTCCTGAGCAGGAAACCTGAGCAGCTGTGAATCAATACAGATCCTTCTCTGGTTTACTCCACCAAATGACATCACTCTGGCAATCACTGGAGAACCTCTCCAGGTACAGAGGGCTGAGAAAATATTTTATTAATAAAACAGCCCCTTCCAACGCAGGAAGAAGAAATGGAGGTCAGAGCCAGGCTGATGTGCCCCTCCACCATGACGATGTTGTAGATGCACCTTCCTGCAGACAGGAATGACTAGATAATTACTGAATTAATACTTTAAAAACAAAGTCGAAATAGTTCTTTATTTTGAAGCTTTATGGCCTAYTTCCAGGTCACACACAGCAGGTTTWAAGACTRTTRGTTCAGTGCTTTAYTTRSAGGRTGTTCATTTCTGAAGCACAGTGAGGACACAGACCATGCTTAATTTTACTGTTGTCCTGCCACAAATTTGTGAGGTTTAGACCCATTTTGTGTGGCTTAGGCCCGTTTTCCCTCCTGTGCAAAGCCCGTGACCCCCTCAGAGCAAGTTTTAAGCTGGACACAAACGTGTGAGAACCCAGAGCAATGATTCAGTGGTTCTGCTGCACCCACCTGACACTTTATTCATGGAATTGCTACAAATCAGCATCTTCATGCAATTGTAAAGTTGCAACAACACGTCTAGGAAGAGAGCAAGAAAAGGCACATGAGATTCTGCCTCCACAGGAAACAGCACTCGTTCTCATTTCACTAAAAGAACTCATTCTACAATTTCACCACCAAACAGCCCCTTATCAACTTTTCAGATCTTTCTGAAGGTAAGGCATGGCAGCCTGAGGTGTTTTCCTTCATCCTCTGTAATTCAGGAGCTACCATGGACAGCCAGGAGCGGATTTTCTTGAAAATTGTTATCTCATTAAAGTGGAAACAACACCTGCACACGTATAATGTGCTGAAATTGGCACTGTTTTACTCCTGCTTTACACAGTAGATTGCAACAAGAGGCTGCACGTGTCAGGATTGCAAGAGAGATCCCTGGGAATATGAAACCAGCATAAGAGGAAGTGAAATGAGAATTAAACACAGTCCAACCTTTTTCAAAGAAGCATCTAAGAAGATCCCTGATCTGAGTTTTCTCAACAGTACAGGGCAAGTTTGGCCTCTTTACTTTTTGCTGATGGAGCATCGTGGCTTTTCCAGGGACTGGTTTTAAATTWTT